GAGGGGCGGGGGTGTGCTGTTATGACTTACTCGGGTGAGTTACTTTCTCAGGTGCTAACCCTAAGGTGTCGAACATTATGAGATACTCGGGAAAGAAGCATCAAAGCTATATATACCCTCAGGTGCAGTTGCAGTCCTTTTTGGTGAGCTGTGTAATGAATGAGTCATTCTTTAATTAGAATCATTACACTTGACATTTGAACCTATACAAATTTGTTTTACTTTGCACCTCTCAGCACTGATGCTAATTTTAGGGGAAAGGTATTCCCCTAGACATTAACGACTCCATCTTGTAGTAGCAGCCAGGACATCCTTCAAAGAGATAATTTGGGTGCAAATCCTGGTAAACTCGTCAAGTGAAAATAGTGCTAGAGCCTTGGCTCGTGAACTTTCAGCCAGGGGAGGCAGTGCGTAGAACAAGGAAGGGAAACGTGTGTAGGGTTGGAATTGATTCAGGTACATGTACATTACAAGGTGGTTCATTAAAAGAAAAGTGTCCTAGACAAATCACTCTCAGAGCTAAGATGTCTCTGTTGACTCAAGTAAAAATGTTCAGCTTTGTTTCTTCAACAGAAGTTCTTTTGGAACAATCTTTGCTCCTTATTTCGCATTTTATAAGAAAAGCCACAACGTATTGCTTCAAATGTGAAATAAAATAGATATCAGTGTGGAAATTATGATGACGGTTTTTAGTATCTCCAGCAGGGGAGTGAACCATTCATTGCCTACATTCATCAGATTAAATGTGCGTTATTTTGATGAAGAGTGGCGACTTTGCAAGGGAGTTGAAAAGGGAAACTATTCATACCACTGTTGTTGTTTCTTCGTCTTGTTTGTTTGTTTGCTTTGTTTTATTTTGTTTGTTGTTTGTTTTGTTTTGTGTTTTTTTGGTTTTTTTGTTTGTTTGTTTGTTTGTTTGATTAAACTTCAAACTTTCTCGAGCGTGAGGAAAATAATTATTGTACTCCCCAGTGGTCCCAGACCATAAACAAATTGAGCCAAAAAAACCCAGCTTTCTTCGACTTCATCTCACTCACAGGACAGGTCATCATTACACTTAAGCCCCGTGGGTGTGCAATTTAGCCCAATACTTACCCCCAGGGAGTGAAAGGCGGGTCGACCGGCAGATTCTCAAACATATTCTCAAAAGTACAGGTTGACAGACAGACACATAATCACTAAAACTCAAACAGGGAAAATGAGGAGCTTTTAGTCTCTTCCAAAAACACTTCTCAATTTGTTAGAAGAGGTAGCTTTTTTCCATTGAATTATTTTTTCAGTTAAGACCCACACCGTACCTTTCGAGGAAGTATTTTTCTCTTAAATCAACATCTCGAAATGTGTACTCTGTTGTGTATTCTCTCCCCC